AGGGTTAGTTGCATGAATAACCAAAAAAAAGTTAATTAAAAAATAAGTAAAATTGGATGTAGGGTTTTTGGTTAGACTTTAGATTATAATTTTGTTTTATGTTATTTTTGCCAATTTCCCTATATATAATTAGTTTTTTTTTTCTGCATGTTATTTAATTGGTTTTAAGGTTAATTTGACTACTAGCTATATTGAACTTCTTAATTAACAATATAGCCACGCTAATGCAGCAAGTAACTATATGAACGCTTGAATAGACAATTTTGCCATTCGTCCAAGGTAAATCGCGAATACAGAAGAGAGAAGAAGATCACGTGAGTTGTAGGTGGAGAATGGAGATTAGACTCCATAAAAAATAGCACAACAAATATTTTACATAATAAATTTGGATTTTTTATTCTACTTTATGTATGTGTGGCTAAGAATCAAAGTAATTTGTTTATTCTATTTTTACTCTCAACATTTTTTACGGTTGGAATAGAAAAAGCAGAAGACATGAAGATAGCTGAACAGTAAATACAAACAATGGAAAAGGAAGATATTTTTCTTCAGGCGAGTAAAACATATTAAAGAAATTAAAAAATTAGGTTTTTTTTTCTTTGACGAACATTTCAGTAAGGACAGTTTCAGTATTATTATAGTTTGTTTACAAAATACTTTAGCCATGCTCTAATATAGTTAGTCACCTAATTATAATATTTTTGTGTGCTATTCCTCCTAATTTCTCTTGGTTTTATCTGCATAATTAAAAAAAAAAAGTGATAAAACACTTTTTGGTTAGAAGAAATACACGATATATCCTATTTATATTCTGTATGTATATTTATATTCCGTTTAGTTTAGTACTAGTATTATGTCCGGTGCTATGCACCGGATTTTAAGTATTTCATACAATTGCATTTTTTTAAAAATAAAATAAACTAAACCAACAATAGTGGTATAACGTTTTCATACGAATAATTCTACAATTTTTTTATGGGGCAATTACAAAAATGCCACTTTTTGTGTGCATATTTGCTAGAATGCCACTTAAGGGTGTCCATTTACAAAAATGCCACT